ATCTACCGGAAGAGATACTGAACTTACTCCTGAAAATTTAGTCCGAAAACCTTCCTGAAAATGTAACTTCTCCCTTAGACGGTTGAACAAAGATTTTTCTCAACAAATTTTGATAAATTGTTCTTAGATTCTCACTCTAAAGTAGGCCAAAGTGTAATGAATATTGTAAATTGCACTCGTCAACACGGCCACTCCCCTGGGTTAACTTGTTATATAATTCGACATGTCATATTGAATGCGTCGTCGATCAGGAGGACTGCAACGCGTGCCCCGTAACGGGTTTGCTATCGGCAACACCGCGAACTGAGACCGCTGGAATGCTGTTACATGTTAATAATACGTTTAATAACTATTGACGCGTGAGCAGATTTACCTAGAATCTTGCGTAAATAACACTTTAAAAGGTATAAACGCTCGTTTCAACATAGCTTACCTAATCAATATACTAACAAAACCATACTGCCTCTATAGTTTAAAATACGACTTATATCATTTCTTTCTATTGACTAGCATGATGTTTTTACTACCATAACTTTCATATATTTTTTGAAGAAATCTTTCATGGGTTCCTCACAAGGTGGCCGTTTAAACCCAATACAAAGATCTCTGACTCAATCTGTAGCTCAGTTGGAAGAGCGGTAGCCCCGGTTTGGCAAATAGTCACTGGTTCGAGTTCAGTCGAACGCAAGGAATTTTTCTTTGTGTTTGTTCGGTCGTCGAATCAATAATAATAAAACATGTAATATAAATCACAAAACTCACATATAATAAATAAAAAAAATACGTAATTCACTAATGCCACACACGGACGATGGTAATCAAGTAAGAAAATTAATAAAAATTAATTTCGTTGTTTGAATTACAAAATTGCGCAGACAATTTCACAATTAATTTAGCCAAAATAATTTAATTGCCGTGAATTTTGATTGCATACCAGTTTGGGAGACGGTGGAAAGATTTTATCAATTTAATTAATAATAAACTTACGGTTTCCGGCGACCGCCATGATAAGAATATTAAAGGAATCAGATAATTAAGCGAAAATTATTTTACAGCTCGAGTATTTTTCAATATTTTATTTTTTTCTTTTATCAGTTTGCGTAAGGCACTGCGTAACTTTTTTTCATTACTACAAAAAATGTTCCCATAGTGTTACGATGGAAAGCTCTTCTAATGAAATTTATTATTTACCTCCTTGGATTTTTTGCTTTTATCTAAGGATACTCCTTCCCCTATTACCATCAAGGCATAGCTCCCCGCAAAAAGTATTGTATCTCTACTATGAGTTCACCGCATCGCTTGTCGCTAGCGACAGAGATACATTTGTATAAAAACACTAGTTCTTATTGTAGTCGCTAGGAGCGCTTTATAATTCACCACTCTGAATTGTAAAATATTTGACGATCTCGCCAACGACTGCCAACACTGTAAACGCATTATGAGGGTATAGTGTTCAGTTCGGTAGAACATATCAAAGTGCCATAGTCTATCAGGATAGATAGATGATTCACACGTTTCTCACACAAAAACCGTACGTTTTTTTATTATAGGTAAGTTGGCAGTAGTTCCATGGACCAACTCTTTCACAAAGAACTCTACTGCTACGTCACTATGTAACTACTCTATTTCTTTAATGTGGGGCATATGTGGAGTAATGTTTTTTTTTCTAAACTGTGGTCAAATATGCTAACCTACAACCACAGAAAACGCTAATTTAGCGAGGTGTTCAAGCTTGCGTGAAACCGATAATTATTTATTTAAATAGTCGGTCAAACCTTTGATTAACGCGGCGAATAATGTTATAATACGCGCTTTAGCGGCGGTACAGCGCGCTCGCCGCGGGCGACGATCCAGACAGTGCAAGCACATTCCACGACCAGCTTTAGTATATTTGTCTGAATCACAGTTTCCATTTCTGATTATCTTCACTCTAGTTGCATTATGGATACTTTAACTTACAGTAAGACAGAAATATTGACAGTAAAGTATTGCTTAATGTTCTTCTGCTTTACCCCAGCGGGATTTTTAAAATAACGCGTTCAGAAGATTTCTTGAGTTATGGAATTTACAGAATTTGTTGTCCCATTGTGCTCATAATGTACCTAAATATGTCGTACTGCAGCCCTAACCTTATTACAATCTGAAACCATCATAATATCCTATGTTTTACGATGGGAAAATGAACAACAGGAGAAACGCGACTTGACACCAGTGTCAATGTCATTTGACCCTCGAGTTTGAGAGGCAAGTCGTGGATGCGCGATTTTACATGTTTATTTGCTGTCTGGGTGAATACCTCAGCTGTCGTGTCAGTGTATTGAACCAAATAAGCATTTGCACTCGAGGTATGGTACATGAATAAAGACATGTCTCTCTCAAGACATCACGTCAAATATTTGACAATTTTTGTCGTATTTTGTGTTGTAGCGCTCCTGGCGATTACTATTTATAGTTTTTAAACTTAAATTTCAATACAAATAATTTACAAAACTAATTTAGATTTACATAAAAGATAAATTTCTAACTAAAATTCGTATCAGGATGTTGATACAACTTGTGCACCGGCTGTGAAACATGAAATCATTGAAACCCTGTCATGAGAATTGCACTCTTTTTGTATGTTCCAGAATTTTCCCATTCGTATGATAGGTATTATAAAAGTAAGTATTCATGGAGCGATTTTACTCATGAAACTGAATCACTCTTTCGAATAATTATTGGTGCAAAGGTCAACCAAACACAAAGGAAGTTCGTTCGATCCAACTGGACTCGACCCAGCGTCTGTCCACTCCGCAACGAGCACATAGAGAAATTTGTAAGATCCGGATCCACTGACTCAATCTTAGTCGGCAAGAGCGGTAGCCACGATTAGGCAACAGACGCGGGTTCGTGATCAGTCGGATCGAGGGAATTTTTCTTTGTGTTTGTAGATAACAACAAAAATGGAGTATTTTCACAAAAACCAAATTACTAACATGGCAGTAAAAACATCATGATATTCAATAAAAACAAAAAGTTGCAAGTTTTTCGACGCCACGTGTAATTTACGAGAAGTTTTTTCAACTCTTACCTATACAATTTTTTTGTTTGAATAGCTACGTACGAGGAGATAAATCCTCAGTCAGCCGTGACAATGGAACCTTTAAAAGACTCGAAACGATGGTTTGTTTGAAGAAACAAATATACACGATTTAGATCCGAAAACAAATAAATGTATAATATATAGTTTCATTTCCAATGTGTAGCAATCGCGAAAAGCTGAGAACTCGATAATCCTCTGTTTTAAGTATAGTAATAAAGAGGAACGAAGAATCTTTTCCTCTCTGTACGTAAAATAGACACTATAGGCTCTATCAATTTCAGGTTTATTTCTTAAGTATTTGTTTGCTTATGTGTATAATATATAACTAAGGTCAGTATCATTATTTATTTATATAGTTAGAAAACGAGATTATGCTCGACTTTTCTTTGTTTAAAGCACAGAACAATAAATGCAGAAGTGCTAAGAGAGCGTGACTCGCACACTACAAACACTACAAACACTACAAAATCTTGGTATTGATTGGTCGTAATTTCAAATTTAAAAAGAAATAACAAATTCTGGGTTGTTAATATAATTTAAACCTTAGTCTGTTGGCATGTCGTTGCAAGTTCAATACCATTAATAACTTTACTATTATTGCAAGTTACGACGTTTTGATATTATATTGCAATTTCAGCCAATGTGTGGTGCCATCTCGCAGGTAATTACTGAACGACGACCAATTGTAGTTAAGTCATCCTATTTAATTATAATAAATTTTCAATTTTCTGTTTATCGAATTTTTTTTGTTACAAGAACCGAAAATAAACCATATACCTGCAATATGACCGTTTCTTTTTTGGAGAACTAAGTAAACACCTCGAATTCGTCGTTGTTCAGCTATTGACCTCTAGATAGCAGCACATTGATTGAACTTTCAACGATATGCCAACATGGTAAAGTTAAAATTATATTAATAGCCCAGAATTAGATACTACGGCCAATCATTATCAAAATTTCATAGTGTTTCAAATTATGAATGCGTGAATTTCTTTATGTTCCGTGGTTTAAAGTGTTTTCATAATATTAATATATATATAATATTAATATATGTTCTTTTTATCTTAATAATCTACAGTTGTAGTATAAATAGGCTTGACTTTGTGCAAAAACCTACTTATTTTCCTCGAAGAATGCTTTAACGGCCTATCATTGGTCTAAGCCTCATAGTAGGTACGTGAACAAAATATTTATAATTTATTACCTACAGTTCTCATACATATTCAATGCCCAGTTAAATTTTACAGGTCTTCATTGTATCACAAAGTCGTAAAATGAGACACATAATGCTGACTGACGAATTCACTTACAACTATCTACAGAAACGACTTGTTGGGCTATATTTATTTCTAGCTTTCCTTCGGTTATTTCTATTTCATACAGCTTATAATCATGAGTAATACGAGGCAATTTTACCTTTTTTTTTTATAATATCAAGTGACGGGACGAACAAGTCGTGCGCCTGGTGGTAAGATACACGCCTGTCCATAACAGTTGCACCTCCACTCAGAGCTTTAATTCGCAAAGATCTGAGGGGCACTGCCACTGGGCCCGTCACCCTGAGACATAAGTTGACAAGTCCCATGTGCCTGTAATTTCACCAGCATCCTTATCCTTCATAATTGAAACGCTCACATTACTGCTTGGCGGCAGAATAGGTAAGGTGGCAGTACTTCCCTGGGTGAACTCTTTCACAAGGAGCTCTACTGCTGCTTAACTTGTGTTATACATTGTAAATTTATATAATACCTTTCGGTCTTATATAGGTATTTGCGAAATTGAACAAGTCCTAAAGTCAACAGTTCGGGGTTAAAATAAGAACAAGTCGTAACGTCAACAGTTCAGGGTTAAAAATAGATAAAAAATATAGGAAACCGATGTGTAAACTTCAAAACAAAATCTTTTTTTTCATATTTACCCTCAATTTAGAGCCTCCAGGCGAAGTCGAATGGCTGTTGCTGCTGCTGCTCCCCAGCCTCCCGTTATGATACATTTCACAAACAACTTTATAAATTCACTTTTAAAGCGAAGTGACACTACACATTGTCTTTAGTTCAGCTTTCTTCACTTAGAACCATTAGCGAGGTTCTTGCACACATTGTACCCAATGTCCGAAATCTTCATCTATCATTTACTGACTCGTAACACTTTGTGTCATCTTTTGTATGCGCAATTTCTACGAAAAGGAAACACTAACTTTGTGGGCTATGGACGAAAATCAATTGAAAGAAACAAAGGCAACATAGCCGTTGACGGTGTGATTCATGTTACGTTTATTTGACATTTAATTTTCTCTTTCTTTCATTTCTAAGCTCTACAAAAATCTTAGAGGATTCCATAGTCTAAAATAAAAATTTACTTAAAGACACTTTGCAACATACATCGCCTTCATTTTACTGATGGTAGAGTTCTGTGTAGTCCCATTTAACCATCCTGAATAGATACTTATATAGGCATAAAACAGGAAACAAGATCTTAACATAAAAATACTTCTGTGGTACCTCATGTGTGACATGATATAGTGAAATATTTTTTGGTAATCTCCTTATGTGTTGAGCCAACATATTACGAGTGTAAAGTTACCACCTGTATGTTGAGCAATAGCATACGTGACTTTGCAAGGTAGTTTTAACGATAAGCCAAAACGTAGCAGAATTATCGTTCGTATCGTCATCGCCGCGAAATCGCTCTGTTTTTATTCGATAAACCTTGAGCATTCTCTTTTGATGAATTGCATAGTGGAAGCCTGGCGATCACAGGATTAGCCAGGTGTGCAAAGAAACAAAAGTATTATTGAAATTAGGTTGTGTAACTCCGAAATTGGTTTTAGTCAAAGTACTTACCTTGACCTTAAATCGTTTTTTGTCATTATCTTTATTTGATAAGTAAGCACGATTAACCTGAAAATACATATCTAAGATAGAAAATTTCAAATAGTCTTTGAAATAAAAATCTTTCAATATCATAATACCAATAAAATAATACCAAAACTCACCATTATAATAAATTCGAGTACCAAAAACAAAGCACAGTTATTACGAAATGTAATACCTAGGTAAGGTATGTACGATTGAGATGAGTTAGCCCACGCTATATATAGGGTAATAAAATTTTATTAGTATCTCTTAGTAGCACCCATGTCCTTTCAAGGTGTTGCCGGCTTTGCTATCCATGTTTGGTTCAAAGTTACTAATAGTTCTATAACTCAGATTTAATGTACTTATACAGGAACATTTGCAGAAATTTCGCGAGGGCGTTAGAACACAGATATTGCCCACTTGGTTCTATTTAAACAACGAGTGGAATCGTTACTTTATAAGGAACTTGTACCAAATGATTGTTTACTTTTGCGAATGCGTATTTGCGAATCCGAATTTTCGCGTGCGCGTGGGCCGGGCAGCGCGCGCGGCGGCACTGGTCGCGCTCGCAGAGTGTGCCCGCGCCGCGTGCGTTGCACCTGACCGGCCCGCGGCCCGCTCCCGCCGGCCGAGGCCCGCCGGCAGCTTCCAAGTACAGCGTGAGATGAAATCCCGACACAGTCGCATGCCAGCACGCTCGTACTCACGTTACTTTTCAGTACTATCAATGAACTCCCCGTGCACCTTACATTGAATGTAATTACTTACGTCAAACGTTTTCTAACAAAGAAATGCACATGAAACGTTTCAGGAATTATATTTTGTAGAACTGTTAAAGAAAATTTTCTTCAGAGGCTATTGTTTTGTAATATTTTATTAGTTCATATTGTAGGCTATTACTTCCTGAACCAATGTAAGTCTATGCTAACTTAGTTTAAGTTCTCTGGCATCTTTCTAAGACAAAGGAAGCAAGAGGCATAAAGACAAGAAAGCCAAACTCGCGAATTTTTATTCAAATTGAAGTGTATTCGATCTGTGCTCAGTTTCGTGGAGCGAGGTTTCCCGGTAATCAGCGATACAGCGTCAGCGCTTCATTTGAATGTACTCCCGCACACTGCGTTCCTCTCTACCTGCCCCGCAAAGGAGTGCTACTGCGGCCGGTTCTATAGATATAAAAGCCCAACTTGCAACCTCCTTTACTATTAATTAAAGATAGAAGCGCATCTGCATTACATTATATTCATTTATATTATGACTTAGGAATCTACGTATTTACGTAGACATAACAGATCGTCCAAGATTCAAGCTTTCAGCTTGTTTGTCGATTACTATGTGGGAGTGTCTCTGAGTAGGTGATGCAACTACGTTAACGGTAAACCTACAGCATGGTTGTTATTGTGACATTAATAACCGTTGCTTTATTGATTGGAAACGGTAACAAAATCTATCGATCTTAATCAAAAATAAGATTCTTTATATATATCGTTACACGTATGAAAAGTTGCACATTTCGTACCGGCGGCGGCGCGGGAAGCTAGTGGCGACAGCTTGAAATATTAGGCTCCTGTTAAACAAGTTGTTTGCACAAGTGGCTCAATGAGTGATGACGCCTCCTAATCGGACCGGCGTCGTCATGCATCGGCATCTTAACTACACAATGACACTCTAATTCTTTGCAATACTAATTTTTGGACCTCGCTTTAACTTCAACTTTTGCGTTGTTAATAAGCCATGTGTTGTAAATTATCAAATAGGTTACGTCACAGTTGCAGATAACGATTTGAAAAGTTGTCAATGTGTAATGCGAACTAAATTATTAAACTGAATTAAGAAAATTCATATCCTCTTTATGCGAATCGTATTCCGAGTCATCTTTTCACTTGAGTTTCAACAATACGAGGGTCGTTTAGGAATAAATTGCCTCTGACATAAAAGGGTAAATTTCCATTTCAAGCGTAAAAGGTCTGTATCAAATGCGTCTTACCTCGACCATATTAAGTTGTTTTTCGGAACGCTATATACGAGTATGTTATTAAATAGCTTTTAATCTTATCTCTTGTTATCGATTCTTCATTTGTCAAACACGATTTGTGACCGTGCCATACGGAGTTTCACAATGTTACCTAAACATAAGAGGGCCTTTATATTCCGCTTCGATTTAAAAACCCATCTATAAAATATCAATTATCAGCACCGAGAACATATAATATTTAAACACAATTTAAAATTTGAGAAAATTGTAGAGGTTCGTTTTATACATTTTTAAGTGAACGTAAAAGAGATATTTCAATAATTTTTATGAAGTTTCCAATTACAGGGCCATGTCAAAGGATAAAACAATATTTCTTGCTAATTATGGGTTTTTACCCAAAACATCATGGACCTCTGAACTCTATATTACACGGGATGATCCTATCGTACTTAAACTGGTGATCGAATAAACTACTCGTATAGAGAGATGTAATTATTTTGCTAGAGATCTTTGTTATTTGTTTCAATTAGAAAAAGACTATTATTCTACCAAAAGGTCCACGGTAAATCTGATTCATAATTACCATACTAAAGTAATGATTTTGCTGTTGTAGCTGTTTGTGATCATTACTATATTGACGATCATGATTATCAATATAGTAATCATGGAGATAGCGTGCTGACAATGACACTGCTGACGGGCTCTACATCACTACTATTCCACAGACTTCAGCGGATACTACTGAACAGTTCCACAAGATGGATGTAGTATATGTAATGTGCAATATGAGAATGTAGGCGTGAGTGTACGCTGAATAGGAGACTCTTCGTTCCCGCCAGCGAAGACTGTTTCTCAATTTGGAGTGTGACGTTGAGACGTTGTTGGCTTGAAAAGTGGCGAGAGTTATGGAAAAAAGAAGATCGTTCTGAATTTTCCTGATTCGACGGTTTTTAGAGTGCTGAATGGATCAGTCCCTTATCAGGGACTAAACCATCGGCACACTGAATCCTAAATCAGGGCTTACTTGCAGAAGCCACCGCAAAAGAACATACATTCTCGATACTTGGCTACAGAGCATCTATCGCTTTGCGCTTGAATGTATTGTATATAGCCTGCACGAGGTGAATATAACAAGGGTTTGCCTGTGTAAAGACGTTACTGTCGTAAGTCGAATGCAAGGTTTATAAAATCTCACTATGTTTCTATCCTGTCGAGGAGGGGATGGAAGCGGCTCATGAGACGATTGAAAGTGGCCGTGGATGGTTTTCTCTTGTGCTTTATACAAGAGCGTCCCGTTGAATGTCACCGTATTTTTCCAAGGTCCCAGAGATTATGTCCTGTACGACAATGAAGAAGACGGTCCCGCTTTTTGGGGTTCACATCGATTCACCATTTAACTTACATTTAATTTGCACTGGCCGCGGATACCATCCAAGATCTACCTAGAGAACTTGAACTCACTATCATTGTCAAAGAAGACAATATATTTACTGACTAATATTTTGGTATGTCAAAGGTTTATGGGAGGAATGAGATATGGTTGCGTCTTCTATTATATCTTGTTTAGGAAAAGAGTAAATGTGTGGGTTCTAAACGATACGGTACACTTCAAATTTGAATTTAATTAAATCGATGACCTTTTCCCCGACAAATTCAATTAAACAAACTACCCTAGTTTCCCAGTAGGGTAACGTAACTTTTAGTCAAAGTTAAATTTAGACCTTCCATGGTAATTATAGAGATGGGTAATTGAGACGACCTTTGAATTTTATGAAATATAAATATGTTTATTATTATTGATACAAAGATCGAACAAACGCAAAGAACTCCTTCGATCCGACTGGACAAGCGTCTGTTGCAACAAGCACAGAAAAATTCGTAAGATCTGCTGACTCGATCTGTAACTCAGTTGGTAAGAGCGGTAGCCATGGTTAGGCAGCAGACGCTAGTTGGTGGCCGGTCTGATCGTAGGTACATTTCTTTATGTTTATCTGACCTCTGTATCACAAATAATAACAAACTACTACACAATTTTTACAAAAAATATATGAATATCTTGGTAGTAAAAATAACATGGTATTCAATAAAATAAATATTATAAATATAATATTATACACTCAATACAAAATAAGTGTTTAATGTATGAGGGGACTGAGCTGCACATGCGAATATTATAATAAAAAGACTTGGCATTTCACAGTTTGCCAGCGATACAATATCGGCTTCTTTCACACTCGACAGCTGCAATATCTTAAGTTTTATCATTTGTTCCAGTCAGTTCGCCATCTCCGCCAACTCCGGATCCGAAATCCCGCATTGTTCGTTACTTTCGCTAAAGGTATCCCTTGCGTGCCGTATACTCCCACACACATTAACTGTATAACCTACAGTATAATTTATGAACGTTTTACGATTCAATTTACATTTTAAAATAAGTAACGGCTTTTAAGTGATGTCAGAGTTATGAGAAAATCTTTAACACCTCGTAAAGACAATGCTGACATATAAAATTATTTGCACTTTAGATTCACGTCCTGTTGGCCTACACATAAATAGTGATTCCATGTTGTTTTACCGTCGCCCTTCTTACGTAAGTTAAGCAATACTAGATTTGGTAATTAATTATTCTTTTCATGAGTTAAAAATTCATCTGCGCACCGACTTCTGATTAGCACCGATACAAAGGAAGGGATCATTTCGACACGAAATTAATCAATTTCACTCTCACAAAAAATGCTTTTACCGAAGTGATGGGCACGGACCGGTCGCGACCACGGCCTGCTGTGACTGATAAAGGTGTCACGCTCCACGCCGCCGCCGATACCAACGATACTGTGTTTGTCACTACAACGAATTTACGGCCAATTAATCCGGATCTCGCAGCGGTCGTATGAATTTGTTCGCCCCAAATAATTGTGACAACAAACAATTCTTTATCTCGCTCGACTCAAGGTAGAGTACGATATTCAATAAACCAATTTTGATATTCATTCTTGATGAACTGGGAAATAATTATATGAAACCAGTAATACGCTCTAGAGTTAGTCAAAGTCAAAGTCAAAGATTATTTATTCCATAGGTAAAATAAATTTACACTTGAAAATGTCACATTTAAGCTACTGCTCGTTTACTACGCTGACCTCCCTGAGAAGAACGAGCAAGAAACTCTAGGGATTGCTCTTTTCAAATAAACTTAAATGCTATGGAATACACTTTTAATCAAATTTGTGTGGATTCTGGAGCCATGTCGTCTTTCCATACATCTTTATCTAACACGTAGTCTTCAATTTTGTAATTTGGTTTTTCGATCAAAATATTTTTAATGTAGTTTTTAAACTTAAGAAATGATAAACTTAATATCTGCTCCGGAATCTTATTGTAAAAACGTATACAGTTCCCCATAAAAGAGTTGTTTACCTTGGTTAAACGAAATCGTGGTACCATGAGTTTGGACTTAGCTCTAAGGTTAATATTATGGATATCTTCTTTCTTATTGAAATTATGTATATTTTTATTTTTTATATTTTCTATAAATTTTATATATTTTAGTTAAATGTACCTAATTGCATATTGCTCTTATAGCAGTTAAATCATTTACGCCT